GCTTTTAAAATAATTGAAGGAAACGCACACAGATGAACCACTTTTTTCTTTTTATGCCTCAGGCAGATTACCATCTAATTGATATTTGTATATTTATTGCCTGAATATAAGGTGATAAAACGGACAGTGTTGCTCTTTACTGAATTTTGACTCTTTCAAAATACAGTACTGCTGTTTCAAATGCTTTTCAAATTACAGTACTGTACAAGTAAAAAAAAAAAAAAAGAAGAATTAAATTTTTTTCCATGTGTTATGTATAAAAAACCTAAAATGAACACTGTAAGCGGACTACTTCATTACTATAAGCAAAGTAATTAAACAGTATTTGTACAGGAATGATTCTGTCTAAAGCTTTTTGATCCATATAAGCGGCTGATCACTATAACCATGATCATTATAACCGGTTTCCACTGTAACATCAATTGGTGGTATTACCTTTGGTAGCTGAAACAGTTTTTTCGCCATGTTTACATTTGACCTCTTTTTGTTCATTGTCGTCCTCACTAAAGCCACAATGTGTCCAAACAATGGACACGGCATTTTTCTTTGGTACAAGCTGCTTGAGTTGCTCAGTTGGCTTGGTGTTTGAGTTTACTTCCATGCTGCTTCCATGTCGCAGACTGGATGGGGCGGAGTCATGTGACAACACATGTGTTACTGATCCCAGTCTCTGTACTGATCCTAGTCTCTGTACTGGCCCCAGTCTCCATTTTTGCATGCCCCTTTCTTGTCTCAGCAGAGTTTTTTATTGCCATAGAATGTCACTGTTTTAGTTTAGATGCACATTTCCACGCAGAACTTGAATGAATAACGTCACTGTATTCATGAACTCACGAAGGGAGTCACAATTTGGACTGAATCGGCACATTCTAAGCACCCTCGAAGCATTTCTGTTGCTTCAGTGGATCGAGACCTGACAGATTTGGGTGTTTTCTTAAGAGATTTTTCCTGTATATTGCTATGAAGAATATCAGTGTGGGCAGACATCCTCAGCAGAGCCCTATGGAATAATCAGTAAGCATCCAGAATTGAGATCTTATTGTAGATGTAATTGAAATCCAATGGTTTGTCTTTTCTGCTGTAACAAGTGACTTGATGCTTATAGGCGGTTCAAGGGGCTGGTTGGTATGGTTGAAATCACCTAGCATGATAACAGATGTATCAAGACTTTTCACCTGGAAATTTCAACAGAGGAAATGCGTTGCGAGAGTTACATAATGGCTATATTAGCGAACGAATACAACTGAAGTGAATTGTGTCGTGAGGTAATATGGTCTACATTTCAAGCTGATGAATTCAAGATCAGGACAACAATAATGAAGAAGGATTGCTGAAATGTAGATTTTGTGAATTTGCGGGTTAGTTTGACTCACCTGTCAGCTCTTAAATCAGACAACCGTGTAATATAAACACGTTTTGTATTCCTCATCTACTGCCGGGAAAGACTGCTCAGTGCCAATTTAAAATAATCATGTAATAAATAAAAACCTGTAGTATTCCTTCCTGGTTAACAACACGAGACCTTCGGTCATGCCTAGACCTGTCATGATCATGAAATTTTAGTTGATTATTAACTGCTATTCAAATAATTGCTTTTAATGATTTAATTGTCTTTTCCCTGTTCAATTTATCACACTATTATAAAGCCTAATCATTGTTTGATAATACTCATACACATTATAAAAAGAAGAGCTATTTATTGTCAATGAACATTGGGGCATGAAAACAGCAGTTCCGTTTGCCCTTTAAAACACAGAAATTGTACAGGGCAGATGTGATATAAATAGCAAATAAAAAGTGAAACGTCTTGAGATAAATGGTTCATATTGTCACTGCCGCATCCGTACCACCTGCGCAATTTGTACCTTGCTCATCTGTGCACGCACAGCATTTTCGAGCACGTCTGCACCACGTTAAAGTTCCTGCCACTGCCCAATCCGTTCATCCTACCATTTTACAGCAACTATATTGTCTGTTTGTACAGCACACTAAGCTGGACTGAGCTAAATGTGTGTGAGCGAGGATGCCAGTAAAGGTGCGTAAAACCACAGGGTGTGTGAGAGCTCAGGTGTGCGTCTTGGTTCTTTACTTGCCATCTTCGTTTGCACGCCTGATCGTTTTGTGAGGCTTTTGCCTTATGATGCAGACCCATGCATGAGCCTCTCTATCCTGCCAGGTGAAGCTCCGCTGTCAGAAGGGCATCCCACCCTCGCTTCGGGGCCGCGCTTGGCTCTACTTGTCTGGGGCCAAAGTCAAGAAGGAGCAGAACAAGGGAAAGTTTGAGGTAAAAATAAATAAATAAATAAGAAACCATCTGTTCACCACACTAGTGTTGCAAACACCATTTGCACGATGGTTGTCTGGCCATCACCCAAAAGAGCACTTATACCATCCCGTGAGGGGTTATCCCTTGAGGATTTTCTGGTTCTGACGTCCTTTACACTGGTTTTTTTTGGTGGATGCCTGTTTGGCAGATGTGTTTGGGTGTCCTCTAGGGGGTGCTCTGTTTATCTCATAGCCATCCCCCCCCCCTCCACACACACACACACACACACACACCCTGTACTTGTGCTGACAGGAGCTGGATGCTCAGCCTGGGGACCCCAAATGGATGGATGTGATTGAGAAGGACCTGCACCGACAGTTCCCCTTCCACGAGATGTTCGTGTCCAGGGGCGGCCATGGGTGAGTCATGCCCCCCGGCGCCGCATTTCCTCAGTGCGGCTGTCCGCGGGTGACCGTGTTTGTCTGTGTGCAGCCAGAAGGACCTGTACCGCGTGCTGAAGGCCTACACAATATACCAGCCAGAGGAGGGTTACTGCCAGGCCCAGGCACCCATCGCCGCTGTGCTGCTCATGCACCTGCCCGCCGAGGTGAGCCGCTTTACCCGGCATGACGACAGCGTGTTCCGGCACACATGGACGTCCGCTGCAAACGCTTTACCCGACATGACGGCAGCGTGTTCCGGCACACATGGACGTCCGCTGCAAACGCTTTACCCGGCATGACGGCAGCGTGTTCCGGCACACATGGACGTCCGCTGCAAACGCTTTACCCGGCATGACGGCAGCGTGTTCCGGCACACATGGACGTCCGCTGCAAACGCTTTACCCGGCATGACGGCAGCGTGTTCCGGCACACATGGACGTCCGCTGCAAACGCTTTACCCGGCATGACGGCAACGTCTGATAAAAACATGTTATTTTGACATTGCAGGGACCATTTTTTCAGTCTGCACAAGGGGAAAATAATTTTGTTTAATACTGCGACTGCAATCAAGAAACTGAAAATGTCAAAAAACTTGTATTTGGTTTGGTTAAGGTTAGGGCTGGGTAGGGGTTAAGGTTGTCATAGTTGGTATTAGGGTTATGCCCATAGAAATGAATGGAGAGTCCCCAAAAAGGTATAGATACCTAATCTGTGTGTGTGCGTGCATGCGTGCTTTTTCAGGATGCCTTCTGGGGCCTGGTTCAGATCTGTGAGAAGTACCTCCCTGGATACTACAGTGCGGGCCTGGTAAGAAGGAGCTGTTTTTTCGGTCCCCACAAGGGAAAACTCAATTTCATTAAAAATCTGTGACTGCAATGAAAAAACTAAAAATGCCACAACTCTTGTATTTTGTTTGGCTATTTATGGTGCAGGTTAGGGCTGGTTAGGGGTGTGTGTGTGTGTGTGTGTGTGTGTGTGTGGGTGTGTATGCATTTTCTCTGTTAACATTTATCCGTCCTGTCCCATCTTGTCCTAAATCATACTTGTATTATTGTTTCCATCTACTTTTTCTACTTGCATAGGAGTTTCCAGCTGCATTGTGACTCTGCTGTAGGTAAAATGACCCCCCCACCTCCTCTTCATTCCTGCTTCATTCTCTTCTCCTGATATGGTTTCCGCTTCCTATGGTCGGCTGTCAGGCTGTCATATTAGAAAATCACAGGTAACATAGTAGATAAGCACGTGTGAGTGCAGTTGTTGAACTGTCCAGAAATATCCGGCTGCTTCTGGCTAAATATTAGGTCTCGGTCAAGCTCTCGTTTCCCAGCTAAGTCATGAGTGATGAGTTTGTGCAGCAGCTCTTAAGCAGTGCTGAATTTGGCTGGCTGAGCACACTGCCCCATCTCTCCTCCTGGCTTCCATCATTCTAGCACATTCTCCCCTCCAGGCTGTTTTGTGTGTGTGTGTGTGTGTGTGTGTGTGTGTGTGTGTGTCCCTCACCAGACGACCAAAAAGCATTCCTTGGACATGAATGCCATTCAGTCTGTAACCGTGCTGCACTAGAGCTGCCCCCTTCCCTTCACATGTGTGCCCCCCCTGTTTCCTGTGTGACACTTTGCTGTTGCCCTCCTCTCCTGCAGGAGGCGATTCAGCTGGATGGGGAGATCTTGTTTGCCTTGCTGCGGCGCGTCTCGCACCAAGCCTACCGGCACCTGGAGAAACACGAGATCACTCCTGTCCTGTACATGACGGAGTGGTTCATGTGTGCCTTCTCCCGCACGCTGCCCTGGGCATCTGTACTGCGCGTCTGGGACATGTTCTTCTGCGAGGGTGAGGAGCTCCCTAGTCCTGTATGCCCTCACACGAGCACGTGTGTGTGTTGCATAACTTCCTGTTGAGTCATTTTACTGTAATTCACAATCCCTATCCTTCACCCAGCAAAGACCTCAGTGCAAAAAAAATCCCCACAGCTTGGATTTTCCCAGAAGACATCCTCCCAAAGTTAGGAAACCATGAAGCCCTTAAGGCATTAGTTTCTATTGTTTTATCTGCAGCATCATTATGAACAGAGAAGTGGTATGTTCTTGCTATGTTCTGTTTATATAGCCACACAAAGATTCACAGTGATGCACTCACTGTGAAGCAGCAAGAGTGATGTGTTGCGGTCCAGAGGTTCACGATATGGACAAAAGTATTGGGACACTAGGCCATTACACCTACAGGAACAGGCAAGCATTAAGAGCTCCTTTCATTGGAACTAAGGGGCTGAGCCCAACGCCTGATAAAGAACCCCACACCATTATCCCTC